CACTATTTTCCTCCTCTCTTATATTCACACAATTCTCTTTTATCCTCTTTAAGGTGATCACATCTCTATCCCTTCCCCTTCTCCCTCCCCCATGTCTACCTTCTCTATTTCTACCTTTCCCCTTTTTTATAACTAGAACTAGGGTAGGTAGTGTTCATTAGGGCTGACAGTTGAGGAACCTAGTGATCAAGTAAGAGCCGATTGATTGATTGATGAAGATTAAGCCACCCAAAAAGTGGCACGGGCATGAATAGCCCGTAAGTGGTGGCCCTTTTGAGCCATTACCAGTATCAATAGATGATACTGGAGATGTGTGGAGGTGCGACTGCACCCTGCGTGACGGGAGATGTCTCCCGTCCAAGAGGGATTGATTGATTGATGAAGATTAAGCCACCCAAAAAGCGGCACGGGCATGAATAGCCCGTAAGTGGTGGCCCTTTTAAGCCATTACCAGTATCAAGAGCGTGAAGTAAGAGCCGTTATCCTCTCTCAGCTCATCAGAAGCCTGGTCCTAAAGACTCATTTATTTCATGAGATTTTTATTGGAATCTTTTGGAATAAACTTTATTTTAATCTAAGTAACGGTCATATAAGGAACAGGATGAACCAGTGGCTGTGTTAGAGCCGCACCCTCCCCACACCCTGGGTGTCAGCATGTGTCAACACGTGTATCAACCGGTCGGCCGAGCGGACAGCACGCTGGACTTGTGATCCTGTGGTCCTGGGTTCGATCCCAGGCACCGGCGAGAAACAATGGGCAGAGTTTCTTTTACCCTATGCCCCTGTTACCTAGCAGTAAAATGGGTATCTGGGTGTTAGTCAGCTGTCACGGGCTGCTTCCTGGGGGTGGAGGCCTGGTCGAGGACCGGGCCGCGGGGCCCGGTCCTCGACCAAGAGCCCCGAAATCATCTCAAGATAACCTGTTGAGCAAAGAAGTTCCAGATGCGATATCCGGCTTAGGAGCGCTGATAGAGTGATGGTCTTGAGAAAGGCAGTTTCAGCATGAGACTGTTGAAGGCTGAGAGCCTAGTGTTATGGGTGCCAACTATTGGTTGACAACGGAGTTGGGTCAGGTCCGGAACTTTGAGAATGTTGGCCTTGTACATAACAGATAGTCCACCTGAGTACTCACCTAGTTGTTCTTGCGGGGGTTGAGCTTTGGCTCTTTGGTCCCGTCTATCAAGTGATGTACAGATTCCTGAGCCTACTGGGCTCTATCATATCTACATTTGAAACTGTGTATGGAGTCAGCCTCCACCACATCACTGCCTAATGCATTTCATCTGTTAACTTCTCTGATACTGAAAAAGTTCTTTCTGACGTCCCTGTGGCTCATGTGGGTATTCAGTTTCCACCTGTGTCCCCTTGTTCGCATACCACCAAGGTTACACAGTTTATCTTTATCTACCCTGTCAATTCATCTGATAATTTTGTAGGTAGTGATCATGTCTCCCCTTACTCTTCTGTCTTCCAGTGTTGCAAGGTGCATTTCCCGCAGCTTTTCCTCGTAACTCATGACTCTTAGTTCTGGGACTAGTCTAGTGACATACCTCTGAACTTCTTCAAGCTTCACGCGCGCGTTTGTGTGTGTGTGTGTGTGTGTGTGTATGTGTGCGTTTGTGTGTGTGCGTGTGTGTGTGTGTTGTCAAACAACATTTAACAACACTTTGACATCATTTATCATTATTTTCCAACATTTAAAGCCGTTTCGTAAAATGTAAATATGTTATCATTGAGAGTGGTGCAAGAGGACTCAACACATGAGGCAAATAGCCAACATAATGTTGACATTTAAGTATGCTGTCTTAGCGCATGAGGGCGCGAGGACCTCTCCGTGACTCAGTGGTCTGCGGCATGACTTTCTCCAAACATGTGGGGGGGACATGACCTCATTCAGACCCCCCTACCCCCCTGCCCCACCTTCTACCCCCCCATCTCCCACATGTTACTCTGTTACCTTCACACACACTGTGGTGTCATACCCAGCTGTCTATCACCCAGCTGTCCCCTCACCCAGCTGTCTCTCACCCAGCTGTCACCTCACCCAGCTGTCCCCTCACTCACCTGTCCCCTCACCCAGCTGTCCCCTCACCCAGCTGTCCCCTCACCCAGCTGTCCCCTCACCCAGCTGTCACCTCACTCACCTGTCACCTCACCCAGCTGTCCCCTCACCCACCTGTCCACTCACCCACCTGTCCCCTCACCCAGCTGTCCCCTCACCCAGCTGTCCCCTCACCCAGCTGTCCCCTCACCCAGCTGTCCCCTCACCCACCTGTCCCCTCACCCACCTGTCCCCTCACCCACCTGTCCCCTCACCCACCTGTCCCCTCACCCACCTGTCCCCTCACCCACCTGTCCCCTCACTCACCTGTCCCCTCACCCACCTGTCCCCTCACCCACCTGTCCCCTCACCCACCTGTCCCTTCACCCAACTGTCCCCTCACCCAACTGTCCCCTCACCCAGCTGTCCCCCCACCCAGCTGTCCCCTCACCCACCTGTCCCCTCACCCAGCTGTCCCCCCACCCAGCTGTCCCCTCACCCAGCTGTCCCTTCACCCACCTGTCCCCTCACCCAGCTGTCCCCTCACCCAGCTGTCCCCTCACCCAGCTGTCCCCTCACCCACCTGTCCCCTCACCCACCTGTCCCCTCACCCACCTGTCCCCTCACCCACCTGTCCCCTCGCTCACCTGTCCCCTCGCCCACCTGTCCCCTCGCCCACCTGTCCCTTCACCCACCTGTCCCTTCACCCACCTGTCCCTTCACCCACCTGTCCCTTCACCCACCTGTCCCTTCACCCACCTGTCCCTTCACCCACCTGTCCCCCCACCCACCTGTCCCCTCACCCAGCTGTCCCCCCACCCAGCTGTCCCCTCACCCAGCTGTCCCCTCACCCAGCTGTCCCCCCACCCAGCTGTCCCCTCACCCAGCTGTCCCTTCACCCAGCTGTCCCTTCACCCACCTGTCCCCTCACCCAGCTGTCCCCTCACCCACCTGTCCCCTCACCCACCTGTCCCCTCACTCACCTGTCCCCTCACCCACCTGTCCCCTCACCCACCTGTCCCCTCACTCACCTGTCCCCTCACCCACCTGTCCCCTCACCCACCTGTCCCCTCACCCACCTGTCCCCTCACTCACCTGTCCCCTCACTCACCTGTCCCCTCACTCACCTGTCCCCTCACTCACCTGTCCCCTCACTCACCTGTCCCCTCACCCAGCTGTCCCCTCACCCAGCTGTCCCCTCACCCAGCTGTCCCCTCACCCAGCTGTCCCCTCTCCCACCTGTCCCCTCACCCACCTGTCCCCTCACCCACCTGTCCCCTCACCCACCTGTCCCCTCACCCAGCTGTCCCCTCACCCAGCTGTCCCCTCACCCAGCTGTCCCCTCACCCACCTGTCCCCTCACCCACCTGTCCACTCACCCACCTGTCCACTCACCCACCTGTCCCCTCACCCACCTGTCCACTCACCCACCTGTCCCCTCACCCACCTGTCCCCTCACCCAGCTGTCCCCTCACCCAGCTGTGCCCTCACCCACCTGTTCCCTCACCCACCTGTCCCATCAGGAAAGCACTATTGGGTAAATTTAGAATAATTGGATAATCAGGATAATTGGGAAAATTTGACTTAGAATAGCCACGGAGAGGCACTCGGATACTGAGTGCCATAGTTATGGATGGCACTAGGGATAAACTTTGGTACTTGGGATAACTTGGATAAATCAAGATAACTGGATAAACAAAACTTCGATAAATCAAGGAAGTCATTGCTTAGGATTTTTTTGTGCATAACTGGGGATAGGTCGGGATAATTATTTTAAATCCCAATTTTATCCCATCCCATGATAATTATTTTTTTATCCCGACCTATCCCATTTTGTCATAACTAGACAAAATGAGATAGGTCGGGATAATTATTGGGAGTAGGGTAACAGATGGATAAAGATTGGGAACAGGGCATCTGAGATTACTTAGAGATGGGATAACACAAGGATAAACAGAAATTAGGATATCTCATGGGATAGCAATAGAATGCTTGTAATAACTAAGGGATAACTCGATAACTAATGATACCTAGAGGATAATTAAGATGAAGGGATAACTAAATGGTAACTAAGGATAACTAATGACAGTTGAAGTATAACTAAAAGTAAGTTATAATAAATAATTAAGGGACAATTAAGCAAACTAACGATAACTAAGGGATAATTAAGCAATAACAATGGGATAGTTCAAGATAACTAAGTATAATTACGGACAGTACCTCACAGCTCCTCACAGTACCTCACAGCTCCTCACAGCTCCTCACAGCTCCTCACAGCTTCTCACAGCTCACAGCTCCTCACAGCACCTCACAGCTCCTCACAGCACCTCACAGCTCCTCACAGCACCTCACAGCACCTCACAGCTCCTCACTGCTTCTCACAGCTCCTCACAGCTCCTCACAGTACCTCACAGCTCCTCACAGCACCTCACAGCTCCTCACAGCACCTCACAGCTCCTCACAGCACCTCACAGCACCTCACAGCTCCTCACAGCACCTCACAGCTCCTCACAGCACCTCACAGCTCCTCACAGCTCCTCACAGCTTCTCACAGCTCACAGCTCCTCACAGCACCTCACAGCACCTCACAGCTCCTCACAGCTTCTCACAGCTCACAGCTCCTCACAGCTCCTCACAGCACATCACAGCTCCTCACAGCTTCTTACAGCTCACAGCTCCTCACTGCTTCTCACAGCTTCTCACAGTACCTCACAGCTCCTCACAGCACCTCACAGCTCTTCACTGCTCCTCACAGCTCCTCACAGCACCTCACAGCTTCTCACAGCTTCTCACAGCTCCTCACAGCACCTCACAGCTCTTCACTGCTCCTCACAGCTCCTCACAGCACCTCACAGCTTCTCACAGCTCCTCACAGCACCTCACAGCACCTCACAGATCCTCACAGCTCCTCACAGCTCCTCACAGCACCTCACAGATCCTCACAGCTCCTCACAGCACCTCACAGCTCCTCACAGCTGAAAGGTTTAGTACAAAAAGATAATCTGATATATGAAGGGACAGTGACGTCTCAACAATGGCCTGGGTGACACCCAACACCCAGCTCTCTGCCGGGACTACACCCTCAGACTGACGCGGGCCTGACGGCTGAGTGGACAGCGCTCGGGACTCGTAGTCCTATGGGTTCGGGTTCGATCCCCGGCGGAGGCGGAAACAAATGGGCAGAGTTTCTTTCATCATGATGTTCTGTTCAGCTAGCAGTAAATAGGTACCTGGGAGTTAGACAGCTGCTACAGGCTGCTTCCTGAGGGTGTGGAAAAAAAAATCAGTTGATTGACTGTTGAGAGGTAGGATCATAGAGCCAGCGCTCAACCCCTGCAAGCACAACTAGGTGAGTACAACCATAACCACCACCACCACAACCATCACCACCACCACCACTACCACCACCACCACCAGCTGGCGAGAAGCACCCTGCACCCTACCTGACCAGTAGCGTGGGTGACCTTCCAGAGGGCGGGCGGACGCTCCTCCAATATGGAAATGTTTCTGGAGGGGGGTAGAGCCCGTGCTAATTCTCCCGCCGTAGTCTGGGTCAGACGCCCTTTCACTCTCATTCACTGCAGCGTTGCTCACACAAGCAACAGCTTTCATTTTTCTTGGACTAGCCTTCGTCAAGGGGAATATAAAGGTGAATCATTTACACACACACACTTGACTTCACCAAGCTTGAGGAAGGAATACGGGGACATGATAACGACATGTAAAATACCAAAGGGTTTCGACAGACAAGGAGGCAGTGTTCAGAGGGCTAAATATATGCAATTTTCAGGAGCTAGTACTGGACTCTAAGCCTCTAAGCACATATAGAGGAGATGAAACAAGGTAGACATGGCCACTAATAAATATATATATATATATATATATATATATATATATATATATATATATATATATATATATACACATATACATATACACAGGGGGATGGCACTCGAGGCACAGTGAAGTTAACGACATCATCAAGAGGAGCCTCACCACAGCTGGATGCCCAGCTGAAAGAGAGCCCCGTTACCTAACGCCCCGTAACTCTGATGCTCTTATTGGTCGCCCGGATGGTATCACAGTGAACCCCTGGAAGAATGGCAAGCAGTTGGTATGGGACTACACGTGCGTATCAACCCTGGCTAACACCTACATTAACCTCAGTGTTGCACAACCAGGTGGCGCTGCCACCCACAGGGAAGCGGCCAAATCCCGTAAGTATAGAGAACTGGATCACCACTACAATTTTGTCCCCATTGCTTCTGAGACACTCGGCGCCTGGGGTAAAAGTGCTACCAGTTTTTTGAAGGAACTGGGTTCTAGGCTCATTGAAACAACAAGGGACCCAAGAGCTGCAAGCTTTCTTTTCCAGCGCCTCAGTGTGGCGATACAGAGGGGAAATGCGCACTGCATCCAGGGTTCCTGCCCTCCATCTGAGGAGCTGGAGGAACTCGACAACCTATGATAACCATCTTTGTAACCCATATGTAACTCCTTTTTTGTAACAAAGTTCAAATAAAGTAAATATATATGTGTACATACAAAAGAATGGGGGTGGTAGGAGAAGATAATATTAAGTGTTCAGTGAGAAACCACAAGGTCTCCTCTGAATACTTTTTATTTTCTTCTCCGAGGCTATGGGTCCCCACATTGGCACCAGAGGTGGTACCCTCACAAACTTTCTATATATATATATATATATATATATATATATATATATATATATATATATATATATATCTCAGTTCAGGGCAAAAGTCGGAATAATAAATTCCTAAATGGTGGAGGCAGACTCCATACACGGATTTAAAAGGAAATATGACAGAACTCAATTTTGGTAATTGATACATTTAGGCAGGACCCAAGAACTGGATGTGAGCCCCTGGAGTGGAGCACCTAGATGAGTACACACACACTCGTGCGCACTCACCACCAGTATTGCAAAACTGTTTGTTCACTCACCTCCACTAAGTGGAGAATGATGGCCCACCACCCCTCCACACCCCACCTTCTCCAGCCTCATTTCCTTTGTAAGTGAACCTTTGGGCTACTTAAATCGTCGTTTTTTGCATATTATACAAAGCGAAACGAAGCTCATTTAAGCGCGGGCTCGCTTGGTATTCACAAGTTTCCTATAGAACGCTGAATACATTATACAAGTTCTCTGGGCCTAAACATTGCGCCAGTGGTGATGATATCTGAACCAGGCTTGTTGGGGGTGACCTCCAGGGGTGTATCACCTGGGGAGGAGGACCTGCCTGAGTATAGTTACGTTATCCGGAGTGCTGGTATGCCACTTGGCTGACTTGTATAACACATCTTCGTGTACAAAAGCCGCTTGATAAATGGACATTAGTTATCAGGCTACAGTCATGAGTGAGCAGCGTTCTGTTGGCAACTCCCGCCCCCTCTGGGTGTGGTGAGCTAATGGGTGATGCTCTACAAACGCAATTAATACCCAACGATCCTCGTTTTGTAAGTCGTTTATCCCCGAATTGGAATATAGGGAAAATATAGAGAGTTTTATAGTGTTTTGTGGGTTAAAATGTGGGGTTGAGAGCCCGGTGTTGGGGGGTGGGGAAAGCAAGAGCTGGCAACTAGCGCGGGTGCCGGGAGGGTCCGAGACGAGGAACAGACGAAGCCTCAGTCTCCCTCTGGACAGTGTGGTGTGAGGACTTGTTAGCGTGCGCTCTGAGACCAAATTGTGTGATTGTGGTGAGTGTTTGCCCAATTTTTGTTGTAGTTTGCGTGCGGGTGGAGGGAGGCCGGAGGTGCGTGCGCAAGTAGCGGGGCCAACACCGGCTGCGACGTACTGGTGGCAGCAACCCTGTGAGTGTGTGTCCGGTGGAGAGAGAGACCATGTTTGTGAGGTCCGTCGCACGCCAGAAATATGAACGTCTTAATGTCCCCCTTCTTCTTCTCCTTCTTACCCCCCCCCCCCCCGCCCCTTGTTAGCACCTTCCAGGCGTAAACTACAGCGTATCAACATCTCCACAACTCCCCCCTCCCCCCATCTTGCAATAACCCCTCCCTCTCTACCTTTACGCAACACAGCTAAAGTTAGAAAGGTGAATTTTGGGGGGTTGGGGGGGATATGCCCCCCCTTCGACCCAGTGACCATGATCCAATACAAAAAAAAAATTATTTATATTCAATTAAAACGCGAGAATGAATGGATTTTTGAGCGAGAGGACAATTTAGGAACAATTGTGTGTGTGTGTGTTTGTGTGTGTGTGTGTGTGTGTGTGTGTGTATGTGTGTGTGTGTGTGTGTGTGTGTGTGTGTGTGCACTCCTCACGTGGGGGGGGGGGGGGGGACAGGTGTAATATTGGCAAGTAAAGGAGATAAAGGTGAGGAATTGCGTGCATGTGTGGGGTGGAGGCTACACACACACACACACACACACACACAGGTTGGTCACACTTTGTACACACTTATTAACATGCTCCTGCTTGACCTCTTGATAAATATGGTGTGTGTGGGGGGGGGGGGGGGTGGGCGTAGAGCTTGTTTGTGGGGGTGAAGGTGGGCGTGGAGCTTGTTTCTGGGGGTGGAGGTGGGCGTGGAGCTTGTTTCTGGGGGTGGAGGTGGGCGTGGAGCTTGTTTCTGGGGGTGAAGGTGGGCGTGGAGCTTGTTTCTGGGGGTGAAGGTGGGCGTAGAGCTTGTTTCTGGGGGTGGAGGTGGGCGTGGAGCTTGTTTCTGGGGGTGGAGGTGGGCGTGGAGCTTGTTTCTGGGGGTGGAGGTGGGCGTGGAGCTTGTTTCTGGGGGTGGAGGTGGGCGTGGAGCTTGTTTCTGGGGTGGAGGTGGGCGTGGAGCTTGTTTCTGGGGGTGGAGGTGGGCGTGGAGCTTGTTTCTGGGGTGGAGGTGGGCGTGGAGCTTGTTTCTGGGGGTGGAGGTGGGCGTGGAGCTTGTTTCTGGGGGTGAAGGTGGGCGTGGAGCTTGTTTCTGGGGGTGGAGGTGGGCGTAGAGCTTGTTTCTGGGGGTGAAGGTGGGCGTAGAGCTTGTTTCTGGGGGTGGAGGTGGGCGTGGAGCTTGTTTCTGGGGGTGAAGGTGGGCGTGGAGCTTGTTTCTGGGGGTGAAGGTGGGCGTAGAGCTTGTTTCTGGGGGTGAAGGTGGGCGTGGAGCTTGTTTCTGGGGGTGGAGGTGGGCGGGGAGCTTGTTTCTGGGGGTGAAAGTGGGCGTGGAGCTTGTTTCTGAGGGTGAAGGTGGGCGGGGAGCTTGTTTCTGGGGGTGAAGGTGGGCGGGGAGCTTGTTTCTGGGGGTGAAAGTGGGCGTGGAGCTTGTTTCTGGGGGTGAAGGTGGGCGTGGAGCTTGTTTCTGGGGGTGAAGGTGGGCGTGGAGCTTGTTTCTGGGGGTGGAGGTGGGCGGGGAGCTTGTTTCTGAGGGTGAGTGAAGGTGGGCGAGGAAAATTTTCTGGGGGTAAAGATGGGCGAGGAAAATTGTTTCTGGGGTGATGGTTGGTAAAGGAATGTGTGTATCTGATGGGTGTGTTAGTGTGAGAGTTTGGTGAGATTTTGTGTGTATGTGTGGGGATGAGCTACGGCTCTTGGGTCCCGCCTCTCGAATATTAATCAACTGGTATGCATGGGGCTCTAATCTATCATATCTGCATTTAGAGCTGTTTAAGGAGTCGGCTTCCACCACTTCATTTCTTGGCGCATTCCAATTGTTCACTGTCCTGACGCTGGTTAAATTATCTCTAATATGTCCGGCTTATTTGTGGTTATACATCCTAAATAGTTTTTTCTTGTCTTACTTTGTGTGTGGTGATCATGTCTCTTTTCGAATGACATGTTTAACTCCTTTAATCTTTTCTCTTAACTCATGCCCTTCACCTCTAAGACTAGTCTGATTGTGTGGTGATCATGTCTCTTTTCGAATGACATGTTTAACTCCTTTAATCTTTTCTCTTAACTCATGCCCTTCACCTCTAAGACTAGTCTGATTCCATTCTTGAGAATATTTCCTGGCTATATTTTGTGGTTAATAAGATAACGACTCCACACTCGCGCCGTATATTTCCAGAATTGGTTAGTCATAAATGATATCCAGATCCAAAACGACTCCGTGTCAGAGTCCTAAAGCTAGTTCTTATATCAGCCAACCTTCCATGTGCAACTGGTGATATTCTTTTGATACAGGCTTTTGTGACTGACAGGTTTAGTGTAATATCAACCCTCTGTGCCTGTTTTGTTCTGGCCGATTCCACTAGGATTGTTCTCTCACGTGACACCATGTGTCTGGCCTCGTGTTCCCCCTTTTCCAGATTCATTACTATGTACTTGATTGAGTTGAGCTCTAGTAGCCATTTGAAGGACCATTCTTATATTTTGTCCAGGTTATCCTGGAGATTTTACGGTCTTTTATTTTATTTATTCTCCATTTTTTTTGCATCCGCGAACATTGAGGAAGGAATCTAACCCCTCTTTGGTTGTCCAGAGTGATTTGCAAGAGTGCTGACTCCTGTATGACACCATTAGTAACAGCTCCCTAGTCTGAGGTCACGTCTCACTGTGACCTCTGTTGCAGAGAAGAGAAAATTATCAGGGGGGAAAGCGCCAAGCCATTACGACTACATAGCACTGGGAAGGGGTCAGAATAAGGATTTGGAATGGGACGGGGGGAAGGAATGGTGCCCAACCACTTGGACGGTCGGGGATTGAACGCCGACCTGCATGAAGCAGTGTGTGCGAGTCACTTCCCAGTTACTCCTCCCTGGTCATTTGTTGTACTCTTTAACTTGTGAGGTACTGTGTCAAAGGCTTTGAAGAGTCCCCAAATTATGCAATATTTTGCATACCTTGTGACCTGTTATATATCATAGTAAGAGCCAGAAAAAGGCTTCTGCTCTTCGTATTTCATCGTGGTGTCCCATCTGGTTCCCCAGTCTTAGGCGGGTCCAGTTAACAACATCAGAACAAAGGCAACTGCAGAAGGCCTATTGGCCCATACGAGGCAGCTTCTATTTATTTCCATCAGGTGCCTTTTTACTTTGTCTCTGGTTATCTCTGAAGTTCTCCAGTGCTGCTTGGTTTAGTTCCATTCCCCTCGACGACTTGCTCTATTGTGAAGACCTGATGAAATGTCGTGTTGAGTTCCTAATACTTCTTCGTCGTTTTCAGTGAATATAAAGTGGGAGTTCCTGTGTGGGGGGGGGGGGGGGGTGTATAATTCTCTTGGGGTGCAGCTGATAGTAATACATAATAATTTATGATTATTTATGATTGGCAAATATTATAGGGACTGGTTACAAATCTTCACATGGAAATATCTCCACGCGAGACCAGGAGGTATTGCCGGATGTGGGGAATAGCCCTTCACGGAATTCAAGAGAGAACTTGATAAACACCTCCAAAGGATCAACCAGGCTGTGATTCATGTCAGACTGCGGACAGCTCTGAACAGCAGCTGCACGCAAGCCTCCAACCAGGAGGCCTAGTCAGAGACCGTGCCCTGGGGATATATTGATCCATGGAACCAACACAAGGTTAACACGAGGTGGGGGTGTTTGTGTGGGATTGAGGGTCGATTTGCGGCTGGGTTGTTGTTATAGATTCAGCTACTCCGAACAAGTTCCAAGTAGCACGTGCTATGGTGAGCCCGTAACTTACCTGGCACAGGAGCGGGGCAAGAAGCACGGGCTATGGTGAGCCCGTGCGGGCTCACCTCACTGGGCTATATGTATTGGCGAGAGTGTAGATAAGGATTTTGGAAAGTTTATGTCTCCGAGGTGAAGAAGTTTTAGCGGCAACTTGAAGAGACGACTTTCTGGAATATTTCTGGAGAGAAATTCAAATCTATGCTCATGGGAAATCAGATCAACACAATATCAGAAACAATGGGGAAATATCTCTGAAGAACTTCGGTTTCAACTCTTTTTACCCTGTCGTAGCTCAGTCGATTAAGGCAGTGTCTGGGATGCTCCCGGACGCAGGTTCGAATCCTCGTCACGGCCCTTGTGGATTTGTTCAATGGGGAAATATTTTGAACCACCAAATGGATATTTCCTTGACCCAAATTACCCAACTTTACCCACTTCCAGCGCCGAGGTTCCACCTGTAGAATTCAACTCACAGATGCATCAAAATCTCTCTTTCCAATTTAGTGTTCACCTCTTAATAGTTCCGGGAATACCTCCCTTTCATTAAATAATATAAAACAAGTTAAAAAAGGGATACTGAATTGAAAATAGAATTATTTATGTTCTTTTAAAGAACGGGAAAAAATAACGTAATGTATAAAATGTATATATAAAAATGTATATTTTATACGTAATGTATAAAATAACAATTTCTCCACCCACACTTCCCAACGATCTTTGCTTGTCTCCCACTCGCGGGGTCGGTGGTTCGAGTCCCTTAGTGCCCAGGGGACTCGCGGGGTCGGTGGTTCGAGTCCCCGAGTGCCCAGGGGACTCGCGGGGTCGGTGGTTCGAGTCCCTTAGTGCCCAGGGGAATGAAATATCTGTGTTAAAATAGACTATATGCTAGCATATGTTAAAATAAAAAAATAAAGCTATCCGTTAAAATTGCGACGCATTAAGTACCAAATTAAAGCGTGGTGTTATTGACGATGTGTGTGCATCGGCCTCGATGGGTTAGGTGGGTTGTTGGGTTAGTACCTTTCTGGTTAGACAAAACAGACGTATTAATTATCTCTTTGGTCCAGCTTAGTTAATGTGTTCCAGTAAGACAATCACTTGGGGTGGACGGTAGAGCGACGGTCTCGCTTCATGCAGGTCGGCGTTCAATCCTCGACCGTCCAAGTGGTTTGGCACCATTCCTGCCCTCCGTCTAATCCCAAATCCTTATCCTGAACCTTTTCAAGTGCTATATAGTCGTAATGACTTGGCGCTTTTCCCCTGATAGTTCTGTTCCCTTCCCAGTAAGACAATAATAATTTGGGTATTATTAAGTCTTAATCATTCCGATGGACTGGCTTGAAAGATCTTGGGTTATCAACTTGTGATGTCGTAAGGTAATGCTTCAAGTAGAACAAATTTAAGTTATATAATGAGGGTAATCCTTAAAAAAACATTTTGCTCGTTTCAATTTCACAATTTTTTAGGCTTTAAACTGAAAAAATGAGTGAAAGAATGCGTAAGAATTGTTAATGTCCAAGGTTTTCAGAATTTCCAAATTCCACGCTAGCATATTTTATCATTGCTGTGAAATGAGAGGATAATTTTTAAATTTGAATTTGTATTTATGTATACAATTCTTACGTTCTTATAAAGCCACTAAAGCCATTTTTTCAATGTCAGAGTAGTTAGTAAATGGAATGCATTAGGCAGTGATGTGGTGGAGGCTGACTCCATTCAGTTTCAAATGTAGATATGATAGAGCCCAGTAGGCTCAGGAACCTGTACACCAGTTGATTGACAGTTGAGAGGCGGGACCAAAGAGGCAAAGCTCAACCCCCGCAAGCACACTTAGGTGAATACAATTAGGTGAGTACTAGCACGCATAGCGTTTCGGGCAGGTGGTCATTTATCCCAATTTTCCCTGGAATACGACCCGCCAAATCGCTTAACAACCAGGTACCCATTCACTGCTGGGTGAACAGACGCTACAGTTAAGGATTGGCGCCCAGTCAATCCTCCCCGGTCAGGTTACGAACCCAGGCCAAAGCGCTCGCGAAGCGCCAGGCGAGTGTTTAACCACTGCGCCACGGGGAATGCCATAACATATGATATATCAGCGACTGAAACAATCCCTGCACTTAGTGGAAAGATGTTTTTGTTTCTTTCCTGCAAGCTCCAAGTTTCATCATTAAATTCCCAGAAAATGTGCTGAAGAAATGTCATTGTTTAAACGAAAATAAAATCCATATTCTCGCAGTTGTGTTCAGAAATTCATAAACGTTTACTGTGAAGCATGTTATATTCCTCGTGTTCCACATCCGGTATGTTATCTTGAGATGATATCGGGGCTTTTTAGTGTCCCCGCGGCCCGGTCCTCGACCAGGCCTCCACCCCCAGCAAACAGCCCGTGACAGCTGACTAACACCCAGGTACCTATTTTACTGCTAGGTGTTGGGATCGAACTGTTGACAACCCAACACATTTAATTTAGGTTTATTCTGAATGTTTATCCTAATGCTTCGTTGTACTACAACGGGGTACATGAATCTGAACAGGTGTCAGCCTCAGCCGGACCTGTTGTCAGGTGCGACACACTTTGTGCTGAGGTCTGACAAAGGACAAGAAAATAAGATGGTATAAAACTTCATCATGGATATATTGTGATATATCTCTAATCACCTTATATACAATATTTTACATGTATATATATATATATGTGTGCATTGTACACAAGTACAGTTAAATATATATATATAGAGAGAGAGATACTACGACCATGCTACGGTCGTCTCTTGTCCGATGGATCTTCCCACTTATAAATCACCGACTT